GTGGTAATCACCTTCTCCCCAAACCCGCAATTAACCGAGGGGATTCACTGCACTGGGAGAGGAGCTTAGTGAGAATTTTGGGGGAAATTAGAAACAAGAGTAAGAAAGCAGTTTGGACCAGCATATTATCCCCAATTTCTGCAGTAAATAATAGGGGTATTCAGTGGGTAAAAGGAGCAGCAAGCAGCCAGCAAGCCCTCCGGTGCCTGGGCTGCCTCTCACATCAGCTGGGCCCCGGGTTGTGCTGCCAGCAGCTGCCTGCGCCCCTGATTCTCCCCTGGGTGCGGGCAGCCGTGCCTGCACACCTGCACCATGTGGCCCCGCCACCCTGGGCTTCTGCTTCACAGCCTGAGAAAGATGTGGGGACAGCGGGGTGGCAGCGGGGCTCCTGCATGCACTGTCTCTGGGATGCCAGACACCCTGCCCCAAGCATGGCTGGGGGGCTGGTGACCCCCTCTGCCCCCCCAGGCTCATGGCCCCTCCTACACCAGCGAGCCCAGGCATGGTGCACGGGCTGGACAAGAAGACCTTCCAAATTTTAAAATTTGGTATTTTAAAAATATCAGGCTCCTGCAGGGGAAAACATCAGCCAGGCACACCAAAAAGGAGGAGCGGGCATCTGCTCATCTTCTCTGAAGGGTGACTAGGCAGGGAGGTGAACTCAGCTCGGGTGTAATCCCAGCTGCCCGGCACCTCCGTGGCTGCTGCTGTGGTCCCAGATAAAGTTGGGCAGCTGATGCAGGCAGGAGACAGGCGCTGGTGCCAGGGAGGAGGGCTCTGCCCCTGGGTTATCTGGCAGGACTTTGTCGCACTGCCTGCAGCCCTGCTTGCTGGGGGGTCCTGAGAGCCTTGGAGCATCCCTGGGGTGCTCAGGGTGCGGGGTCCCGCTACTGCTGACCCCCCACACCCAAGGCTGGTACCCATTGCCCAGCCCTTGGCTGAGCCTGGAGAGGGTTTTAGCCTGCTCCTCTTCCGCACATCCCCTGCCCTTCCTCTGTCATCCCGCAGCTTCCGTCTGTCCTTCAGCATCCCTCTCTCCTCCTCTGACAGCCTCTTACAGCTTCTTTTTTTTTTTTTTAATTTAATTTTTATTAGCACATTTTGCAGCCTTGCAGCAACCCAAGAATACAAATAGGACAGCGAGTGCAGCCAGGCCCAGGCAGTGGCGAGCGGGGCCGGCTCCAGTGGGCGTCCTTGGCACCGCCAGGAGGAGGCAGCTGGGCAGATGCTGCTGGTGCCACCGTGACCTTCCTGCGGTCGCTGTCTCCTCTCTGCTTGGATGGAGCTGCCTGGGAGAGCAGGAGATTTTGCACGGCAGGAAAATCCCTGGGCATCCCTGGCTGCTTTAGGCAGCTGTATTGCTCGCCCTGGCCACAGAGCTGCCCTGGGGCACTCGATAGCAGGACATGTCTTGGGCTCCCTGGCCAGGGTGTTTTTACCCTGCTCATGGGTGAACCAAGGCAGCAAGGCAGGTGAAGAAGGACAGTTAAAATCAGCAGCAGATAATGAGAAATTCAGCCTGGCCGGGGAAGCGGCTGCCTAAAAATAGCAGCAAGGTTCTCAGCTGTGACAAGATACACTGGGATTTCTCCCACTGCCCCGTGTGTAATGGATAAGGGCACCGCACGCGCCATCTCTGGCTCCTCTTGGGTGTACCGGGGCTGTGCCTGCATTTTGGGCATGCAGGGTGGAGGGGCTTTCTCTGTTTTGCACGGTCAGCACCCACTGAAGCATGTGATTTTGGCCACTGTGTCTTTGAAAACCCGACCCCGCGCCCAGGCCAGTGCAGAAAATGAGCCTGTGGGGACATAAGCAAAGAAATCAAGGGGGGGTGGGGGTGGAAATCATCCCTGAAACTGCAGGGCCGTGGCAACCAGGAGAGAGCAGGAAACCACCTTCTCCCAGCTGGCCCCCACTGCGACTGGCCTCCCCGCTGCTCCCAGCTCTTCCCTGGGTTGGGCTGCCTGTGTGCTCGGCGTGCCCGGTGTGTGCCAGGGGGCCAGGGCAAGCAGGAGGCTGTCCCATGCCATCAGCATGATGGGAGCGGGTGTGACAGGCTGTCTGCAGTGATTATGAGTGAGGTGGCTGCATATGGGGACGGGGACAGGGAGGATGCTTTGTTTCTCTGCCCCATATGCTCCTGCTTGCTTTCCCATCTCGCTTCTTTGCCCTAATGTGGTGGAGCAGTGCAGATCAGTGATGCCCATGTAGGTCTCCCTTTGCCATTGCTGCCACCTGCTTGTCCCTCCAGCCCCAAACTTGCCTTCCCCATGGCCCAGGGAAAGACTGAGTCTGAGCCGCAGCTGTGAAGCACCGAGGATGGAAGAGAAAAACCCACAAACATCCCAGAGAGGCCTTACCATGCAGGGGAGGTGGGTAGGTGGGTGGTGTATTTAGAGAGGTACGTGTGTCTTTTCCTCCAAATACTTCATTTTGGTGCAACCCATTCCAGTGTCTTAGTGCAGATTGCAGGTGGCTGGGGAAGGAAAGCCTTCTCGGTGTCTAGCCCCTAGCACGCCTCGCAAGGGGCAGCGTGGCAGTCCTGGGCTCTATTAATGAGTGCATAATTGCCCTGTGGGGGGTGGTTTTGGACATAATTGGCCACTGCCCAAGGGTCAGAACAAATTGCAAGGTGATCCAGATTGATTTATAAGCATGTTTAATCAGCCTGGCATGGATCTCTCCTGGCTGGCAAACAGGGATATGTCTCCCCTTCCCCGCCTGAGAAATAGCAGCATTTTCTCTGGCGGGGACGAGCCAACAAGAAAACTTTTATGTGGGCTGGCAGGCTCCCTGCAGCCGCACGCTGCCCTCAGGGCCTCATCCAGGAAGGGGCTGAGCTGCAGGATTGCTCCAAGCCTGCGGAAGCATGCGGTTACGCACTGAGGATTTGCAGGAGAGGCTCCCACGACCTCTCCGACTGAAATGCAAAGGGAGAGGGATGCAAGAAAGCCTTTTCAGCATCCCTGTGGCCACACGTACCCCTGGAGATCTGTCCCCCCCAGTGCGGGCAGATGGTGCAGTGTTTGGGGTGCGCTGTTGGCCACCCACCCAGCTGCTTGGTGCAGGGTACCTGCTGCGTTGGCAGAGGAAAGGCAGCCCCAACCACTTTCCTGCGCACTTTCTTCTCCCTCAAACCTTAGAAATCTAGGGAGGGGCTTTCCCCCTTTTCCCCGTCTCCCTGTTTTGCAGCTCCGCTCTGGAGCACCCGTGGGAGCACTGCCGGGAGATGGGCTGATCCCTACTGCCAGCGGGTGATGCTGGTGGCAGGACCGAGGGGTTTCCATCCCAGGAGGGAACCGCTTGCTGACAAACAGCGCCCAATCACCAAGAATTTTAAGCCACTTTGTGCAGAAATCACAGTCCCTCTTTGCTGCCCACCTTCTCCCCGATGGGGTACAGCTGTCAATTCCCCCCAGGGTGTTCAGAAATTGCAGT